TTTTTTTCATACAAAACGCGCGGTGCGGCAACAGTCCTGTTGTCGAGCGTTCGCGGCACCGCCGCACTGTTTCCGCACCGCGCGTTTTGTATGAAAAGAAAGTTGTGGAGTTGTACCCGTTCGGAAGATTGAAGGTACAATCGATCAATGGCAATATAAAAATATCTTAGAGCATGTAACCTGGATCTTTCAGCATGACAATGACCCTAAACACACGGCCAATAGCATAAAATGTTTCCTTAGCGAACAGCGTATATCCGTTTCAGACTGGCCAGCAAATAGTCAGGAATTAGACCCTTTAGAAAATCTCTGGCACGGTAATAATATCTATACAGTATTCTATCTTCATACAAAGCATACATACATACACGGAAAGCGAGTCATACCTACGCCACTCGAGTTCGATGGGCTTTCGGCGGGCACCCAGTCGCGAATGCGTCGCCGCGCCGCGACGACGAAAGAACGGTCTGAATTGTTTTTATGCAGTTAGCCGTGCTTAAACGTGCGCTTTGTATTGTAAATATTTGATTGAATTAATTAGATACCTACATAATTTACTATGGTACTCTTCAATAACACACCCAGAAAATTAAATTTTCGTATATGTATTGTGATGCTACTGTCATTATGCCAAATTCTTTAAACTTTTCTCTTAAGGATTCTTTAACTTTAAGATTATAAATTGATCGAATAGCTCTCTTCTGCAGTACAAAAATAGTAGTTGACACTACGTCCATGATTAAATAAACTATAAACTTCTCGCAACACGTCAGCACCTTTCAACTTTTGTTTATAAACTTAATGTTTCGTCTAGCTCTCCACGTGGAGCACACGGCCACATGTATCTGAAACAATGTGTCATCGCCTTTTTTTATAAACAATTTCTAAATTGTATATGGAGGAGATGCAACATTGTCAAATACTGTTTATAAAAAGTGTTTATACACCAATGTTGCCTAATGAATACGCAGCTTCACTGACGGGCACGTGTGCTGTCAACGGAAGTGGCCAGTACAATTAGCACAAATAAATATCGGATTCCAATAGTTTTTATGAAATAGTTTTTAATCTCGTTACGTCTTTTCAGCAAAAAAAAACAAAATCGTTCTGGGCTCGCAAATCTACGGCGGGAGACCTTGTACTGAGAAGTACCGGCAAGAAACTCAACAAAGGGCAAGGGCTGCCTTTTTCTCCCTGCTTTATTTCATAGTGTCGTCATAGTATAGTGAGTGACTGACGGGCTCGCGTGCTGTCAGCGGATCCTGACAGGTCGTGTCAATTCCTTATGGCACAACAAATCAATATTATTTTTAATTAACAAATCGTAATTTGTTCGGAGTTATCTCAATTAGTGATGAGAATACAGCAATCGAGAAATCGACTTCTACTTTCGAAGTTTTGTGGTGGAGATAGAGCTCGAATCATAATGTCTACAACGAGATTTATTCAATTGAAACTTACTTCAACAGAAACTTATAAACATTCGTCAAGAGCTTGGGCTGGGCTCGCAACCAACACCATCTGTCACGATCGCATTCTTACTTTAGCAGCAATAATAGTATAGTTATGTTTTTATTTATTTTTAAGCATTTAACTGCTAGATGTTTAAATCTAAAGAAAAGTTTACTAGAAAAAAAATCCACGCGGGCCAGGCAGCGGACGGGACTCGAACCCGCACCCTTCGCAATCCGGGCGAATGCACTGACCATTATGCTACCACTGCCCTATTTGCCGCGTCGAAATTTTCCTAGCCTTAAGCTGCAAGGCAGCGCCATCTCTTCGCATTGTAGGTATATCTAAATAGAATACCGACTATCCATAAGCACAGGCGGATTATCCTAAAGGCAAACTAGGCATGTGCCTATGGGCGCGAGGGTACAAAGGGGCCCGCGGACGGAATTGTAAAATAAAGAAAAAAAATATGGCATAAAATTAATTGGGCCAGTAAGTAAGCCACCTACTTATTTTTTTTTATTCTGGACAACAAACAGTCATGTACATCGATACAATTATTCTTTACAGTAAATAAAGTTATGGACCTTGAGTGCCAACACATAAGTCTAAATATACTTAAGAGGAACAAGAAAAAAACTTAAGGATTTAAGTGCTAATGTTACTAGACAGTTATTTCTTCAATATTACACGGAACGCTAAGATTATATAATGATATGAAATACAAAATTCTAAATTGACATTGCTTTTGATTCTCACAATTCACAATAGCTATAGTTCGCAGTAAGTAAAAATATACCTAAATTATAGAGAACAAACAATTAAATTACTTATACAATAAAAACTATTATTTTTGCTTAAAACCTCAATTTACTACAATTTAATACAAATGATTTTAACGGATGGGACTGACTAATACTTACGCCTACAAACAACCTTGTCGATCATACATGATCTTTGCTTAAAGCTGGAAAGATACAATTGCGATGTTTGTCGTATCGACCGGATCGGTTTCGGTCAAAACTATAGTACGAGTTATTTTTAATATACAGGGCGTCCCACGGCTACCTCACACGGAGGGAAAGTATAATAAATATTGAAGATAGGGAATTTTACTGAAAGAAGACATCATTTTATCTTTAATAATAACAAGAACTGCATTCACATTTTTTTAAAAAATAGCATGCTAGAACTGGGAATCAAACTCGTGAAATTTCGAAAAATAAATCACAACATATTTTATGATAACCATCGAAAGGGTTAATAAACATTAGGATTATTTTTTGCTAAATAACATAGCATTTCAAATGATTTTCGTTTATTTGCATTTTTTTGTTAATTTACTTACCATGGCGTATAAAAATAAAATGGATTTAATGGAAGATAACTTTATGAACCACAAAGACATATTAGCTTTGCGGTAGTACCGCGAAAGATATCCTGATAGAGACATACCTTCTCGATATGTGTTTATCTTATGTGGTTAGTGGATACTTTAAGAAATTTAAGGAGTTTTGATATGCCCTTACAGAAACCACAGCAGCGAATGATAAACGTCTACGATGATGAACTCAACATTTTAACTTACATTGAGGCGTATCCGCTTTTATATTAGTTTGTGTTCAATAATTTTAAACAAAATGTTAAATTTAATAGCAAAAAATAATCCTTATGATTAACCCTTTCGATGGCTATCAAAAAATATGTCGTTTTTTTTTTCGAAATTTCACGAGTTCGATTCCCAGTTGTAGCAGACGATTTTCAAAAAAAAATCGGTGAATGCAGTTCTAGTTATTATTCAAAATAAAATGATGTCTTCTTTCAGTAAAATATCCTATTTTCAATTTTTAATATACTTTCCGGAGAAGGGAAAGTATATTAAAAATTGAACACGGCTACCTAGCCGTGGGACGCCCTGTAGAGGGACCGATGAGATGCTTGCCTACGGCGTTCTCAACGTTTAATCTGCCACTGTCCATAAGAACTCACCAGTGTCTTTCGGGAACGCCAGCATGCCCATACAATGTTGTATATCTTCCAACTGCCCCTCCTCATATGTGGAGAAGTGTTTTTTGGCGTAGCGCACTGCTTCCAAACGTTTGTCCTCGCGTACTAGCTCGATGAATTCCTGTTAAAACACAACAAATCGTCTTAAGAGGGGAGGTGGGCAATGTTTTTTCCATATAAAAGTTCTCGACTTATTCCTCCATGATTTTGATCATTAACTAGTGGCCCGCCCTCGCTTCGCTTCGGTGTAAAGCTGAAGTGTAAGACTATAGTTTTTGTTCTAAGGCTTGTATTATACACAATGACATTCTTCTTATACCTAATTACAATAGGCACGCGCCGCCCGGTAGCGTCGGAACCACTAAGTCCCTGCATTTTAAAATACCTAATATCTAAAGAAAATATAACTAGAAAAAATTACACGCGGACCAGGCAGCAGACGAGACTCGAACCCGCACCCTTCGCAATCCGGGCGAATGCACTGACCAATTATGCTACCGCGTGGAATTTTTTCTAGTTATATTTTCTTTAGATTTAAACATCAAGCAGTTACATGCTTTAAAAAATAAAAATTATAACTATAATTGCTATTTCTTCTTTCAAATGTTTAATACTTGTAAAAGTATTCATTTGGCATTGTGGGTTACCTATAATGCGAAGAGATGGCGCTGCCTTGCAGCTTAAGAATGGCTAGAAGAATTTCGACGCGGTCCGTTAGGGCCGCGGTAGCATAATTGGTCAGTGAATTCACCCGGATTGCGAAGGGTGCGGGTTCGAGTCCCGTCTGCTGCCTGGTCCGCGTGGAATTTTTTCTAGTTATATTTTCTTTAGATTAAAACATCAAGCATTTACATGCTTTAAAAAAATAAAAATTATAACTACATAATATCTTCGAAAATATTAATTTAAATTACATGCTTTAAAGGGCCAAATTGATGTATTAAGTACACAATGTGTTTAAGGTACTTAATTGGTTAAGGATGAATGTTATATTGCTGAAAATCGCTTCGTAAATAAGCTATATTTCTCGTAAAAGGAATAGAATAAAAATGGTTATTGTGGGTTATCCCTAAGAGATAAACATATACCATCGCGGACTTTTTTGTAGACCTTTTTAAGGTGTACAATACTGTAGTACATTATTTTGATCTATCTCGTAGGGTTCAGCTAGCGTTTGCAATGTGAGCGCAAAAAATGAGTTTATTTACGACCATACATTAAAAACCTCTTAAATTATCAGTATTTCTCTACTATATTATCCATGTATTATACATATAAACCTTCCTCTTGAATCACTCTATCTATTAAAAAAAACCACATCACAATCCATAGCAATCAGCAGCCATAGCAATCGCGTTAAGCGATTGGCCCCCAGGACAGCGGTTTAACATGCCTTCCTAAGCATGGGAAATCCCGAGATACTGTTTACGGTCACCCATCCAATGGCAGAATGGCAAATATCCTTTGTAGACGTTTCTGTATGTGAAATGGCTATCAAGAAGGTATCGTTGTTTACGATTTATGTTCGCCGGCATATATACCTGTATCCGTATCTTGAACTCCATGCTGGAGTTAAGTTTCCTCAGTTTAGACTTGTTATCAGCACACCATTGGAGGCATCGAGCCGTCCGCTGCTGGCATAATTCTGCCTCCACTTCGGCTGCGGCCGCGTAAATATCTGGACCGCGGAATTTTTCAAGTTATTTATGGAAAACAGTAAATCCAATGACTTTTAATACTAGTAGACAGGCCTCGCAGTCTATAAATTGGTCAATAATTATACATTCATTTATATAATAGGTACTGCAGTACTCCAACCACTCCAAACTGAATTTATTTGTAGTGCAATATGTCGAGGAATATACAGGGCGTCCTACAACTGGGAATCTAACTGGTGAGTTTTTCAAACTCCACGCGTTTGATACACAGTTGAAGCAGGCGATTTTTAAAAATCTGTGAATGTAGGTCTGGATATCACACTAATATTATAAAGGCGAAAGTTTGTGAGTGTGTATGTTTTGTTACTTCTTTACGTCTAAACGGCTGGAGCGATTTTAATAAAATTTGGTATGTAATTAGCTGACACCCTGGATTAAAAAATAGGCTACGTTTTACTGCTGGAAAATATCCCTAATAAACCGCGGGTAACACCGTGGGGCACAGCTTTAGTTTAAAAATAAAATGATGTCTTATTTCAGTAAAATATCCTATCTTCAATATTTAATATACTTTACCCTACGCGTGACAAACCCTTGGCCCTGTATATATATTTGGGACAAGTGATAATACCTAAACTACAAATGCAGAAGGAAATACAGCGAAGAGTCAACAATACATGGTCAAGGTATTGGTCACTAAAAGTAATTATGAAGTGCAATTCAATACCCATTTCGAATTTCAAAAAAGGAAGTGTGTGATACCTGCATTCTCTCAGTACCTAGCTATGGATGTCAAACATGATCATTTTCAAACCACACAACATAGTGGCTCGACTAAATATTGCAACAAAAGATTTAAGTCAAAATTTCTTTTTTCAAGTTGGAAGCATAATAAGATTCTTGAAAAAAGCGCTGTAGTGCTTTTCTACCGTATTCAGTATTTGTAAGGTTTTACCCCTTTTAGACATGACTAAATAAAGATATATAATAAAAAAATAAAGTATGTCAACATGGGATAGAGCGGAGTTCACTAGGTGTTAAACTTAGGGACAGGATGGGGCTTGACAAAATAAGGATTAGAACGTAAGTAGTTGATGTAACCCGTAGAGCATGAACACTAAAGTGGAAATGGACTGGGCAAAGGTTCGGGTCAGGGAAACGGACAAAATATATTATGGAGTGGTATCCTCGAGATGGAAGACGAAGAAGAGGCAGACAAGTGAAGCAATGGGAGGACAACCTACCCAAATGTTGGCGTAAAACAGTCAGCAGGGACAGGACAGAATAAGCCAAACTGGAGGAAGCCTTTATCTTAAGACAACTCGACATTCAGGTGCCGATGTCGACGAATAAGAGTTACATTTATAAGTTTGTTTAACTTTGGATAATAAAGGCTAATTTTTTTATTCATCATCAGCCTATTAATGTCTCCACTGCTGGAGCACTCGCCTTCCCTTTGAATGGAATAGGGAGATTGGGCCATGACCCACCACGCGGGCCCAGTGCGGATTGGCGTGTGCTAACAACTGCAGATGCAGCCAGGATGCTAACAGTTTAACGTGCCTTCCGAAGCACGGAGGAACTCGAGATAGAAGATTTTTGCTCACCCATCCAATGACCGACCACTGCGAAAGTTGTTTTACTTCAACGATCGCAGCCGAACGCGCTAACTACCTGAGCCATCGAGCTCCTCATTATTTTATTATTTAACACTAAATGAGTTTTATAAAGCAGCTGCGCTACGCCATTTCAATTTAGTTATTAGCTTTACATAGTTATGTATCTCATTTTAAGTGAACTGTCTGTTTAAGTATGTATGAGAAATTAAAGTTCTTTAAACCTAAATGTTAATGTATACTGCTAGACAGGCTGTGCTATGCGGTGCTCTTTATAAAGAAATTGATCAGTTATTGAGCAGTCTGCAACATTTGATGTGCCGTGAATTTCACCGCAAAAATGATACGTATGATAGACAGATGAACGAAAATTGGTGTTTGGACCTATATATTTGCTCACTTTCTTGCTACTCAACTAGAATACTGGCAAACCGGGTTCATTCATTTACTAAAGCACTCGTACCCAATCCTGGTGTTAAGTTCCTAAACTACTTCTACTTGAGACACAAGGACAGACAGGTGAACGAAAATATGTATAAACAAATAAAAACAATCTGGGGTCCTTTAAGAGGCATGAAGAAGCATTTTTGCAGGCCGGCAAGGAGAGAATGGTTGGTGTGGCAGTTTATAACTGCTGTACCAGCTATCATCGCATTTGGTTTTTATCACCACTTAACATCAGGTGGGGTAGAGTCATTTGCCTACCTGGCTATATAAAAAAAAATGTTGTTCGGACATATCCATTTGCTAAAGTATTCGATACTACTTGCTTTAGGTTAAAAAGCTTTTGAAAACAGAGAGTACTGACCGACATTAGTAAGCTCCCTCAGAGATCGCGCGTCTGCCAGCTTGTTCGCAGACTCGTAGTAACCATTCCTGAGGAAGTAGTCTACCAACATGCGATCCAGTCGGACTTTACGCCATTGGTTCATTGAAGTCTGAAACAATATGGGTTTTTTAAAAAAATATATTAAAAACAGACATCTTTCGACTAAGGACCCTGTAAACGGTCTCAAATGTGTGAGAAAAATTAAAAGAATAAATAAATAAAGCTTTATACTAGTTCAGTGTTTTATTAAATTATTTGTGTGTGCAAATATCGTAACTAATATTATAATTGTGTAGGGCGATAAGTGTGTTGGTTTGTTTGGTATTATCTATGGATCTTCATCTTCTGAGCATCAAAACAGAGGATGCAATTATAGGTAACCTCTATGCATTGGAGCACTTACTCTGGTTTGTGGTGTGCTGGGTTCGTTGAGTACGGTGGCTTGCTCCTTCAAGTGTTCCAAACGCTTCTTGCACACATACGCAGCCTGCAACTCTTCGTTTATAGCTTCAGAAGCTTTTCGTTTCATTGTGGTTAGTTTCTCAACCTGTGGTAAGTAAAATATATAGTTTTAATCAATTCTAAAATCCATTGACTTCCATGCTAGACTGAGAGACAAAGAAAAACATAGAATACTCAAATTTAAAATGCATATAGTAGGAAAAGCCTATCAACGGTTGGATGGACGGATGCACTATTTATAAAATAAATAAATATCAGTTTACTTATTATTATTATATAAATACATTTTTATAATAATATTAAATATATTAAATTTAGTATTGCAGTATAATTATATTTTTTTATATTATTTGTTTAAACTTTATTGCCATACATATGAAACAGCAGACTCAATGCCATTGGCATTCTCTACCAGTGAACCTGAACGAGTATTAGAGACAAATGGCAATGGGGCAAAATGCTTTATTATAGACATTTTATCGTCGTCCTTATCTAATGACGGATATGTATGGCATTAAAGTTTAAACAAATAATATAAAAAAAACAAAATAAGTACCCTAAATAAGCTTCTTATTCTATCACTACCCCTCCTTACTTAACTACAGATCATATTGTGCTAAAAATGACAACAATTATGACATTACATATGTTAAAATGCAATCTCACCATTCCTCCCAGCAGTGTGTCTATCTCCCCGGTGGTGACAGCAGTATTTTTGGTAGCAGTATCTATCTCCCCACTGGCACTGGCCACTTGCCGTGCCTCAACGTCCAACACACGCTGGGCGTTACGGTAACGCTTATTGAAAACTTCATATGGAACCTATAACATAACTATTTTAAGGAATATGTTTTCATATCATAATTTTACCTTCCATCCCTCGAGGTAGCATAGCAGATAGCGTAGGTATAACGGTCAGTGAATTATATTTAATAGTGAAAGGGGTTGGTTACATTCCAACCTAATACACGGCACAAAGAGATATATTTCTAGTAATTTTTTTCTTTATTTTATTTATTTTGACAATAAGACTTAAAACCATGATGCTTGTTTGAAGTGTGAAAAAAACATAAGCAGAAGCAATTCTAACATTGACCATTCCACTCATTCAAATAAATTGGACAAACATTTAAAATATGGATTTAATATTTATCCAGCAATTGGACAAATCTATATAAATTTTATAATGTAACTGTTGTATTTTTAACAATTGTTGGCTATTGTTAGTTTATATTGTATGCAAGACATTTATTTAGTAAAAATATTTGCTTCATTAAACATATTGCAAATTTGATGCTATGCCACAATGGATATGGAGACAAACTATGTGTCAACAACATGTATGATATGGTCTATTATAGTATACAGTATTACAAGACAAAAATCTAAAGACTTACGGAGAAATAACTTAAAATTGTCCATGACATTTTAAAAATAAGCGTGGTTTTGAAATATGTGTTTAAGCAGCTAAGATTAAGTGATTGATTGATGTGGCCGATGGAGTGACGATCTGCACAAGGTGGCTGGCAGGAGCAGGATGCGAGTAGCCCAAGATCGATCTGAGTGGTGTGCAATTGGAGAGGGCTAAGTCCAGCAGTGGACTAAGATAGGCTGTTGATGATTGATGAAGCAGCTACTGAGCGTTTATACCAACTTAGATGATAAAAGCTGTGGGTCTGAGCTGCCTTAAATATTTTGTGTATCTAAAGGACAACATGGATGTCAGGAAGTTACAGCATTACACCAAATTGAATATTAAGTAATAAATTATTAACAAATAAATAGCATTAAAAGGTCTGGCAAATTTATCCAGCCCACCTGATGTTAAGTGTCAGTGAAGTCCAGCCCATGAAAAGTAGCTGATGCGAAAGAGAAACGTGCAATCAGCCACCATCATATTGTTACCTGACCCAAATTTAATTATCCCAAGGAACTCCGTAAGGACACAGAAACAATAATATAGTCCACATGGAACAAGTTAGTTACTGTAAAACTTTTTAGTTATGGTTAATTAATTTTACACGATAAATCTTCACAAGACACATCAAAAGAGCCATTCAAAGTTTTGAATAATTTTAGAATGTTAATTTCTATTTTTCATTCAAGCATAATGGAAGGAAGGTACAATGTCAACATATTTTAAAACCACTGCTACCAATCAGTGAGATAACTTACCTTCAATGTAGGATGTTCCAAGCATTTCAGTTCATTCATTTTTGCTGTTCGTATTTCTTAGTATAACTTTGAAATGGTATGCTACGCTGTAATTAAATTTCTGAAAAGAAAACAAACTCAGCTGATTGAGACATCCAAGACGTGCTTGGTCATAGAGTCTAAACACAAAGGACATTAGGCGATTATTTCTTAACTAATGAAAATGGTTCAATGATTGTTCTGTAGCTTCGATTGTAAGGTATGTACTTTGATAAATTAAATTACTCACCAAAAATTTTTAATCGATAGATTATAATTTAGGATTATTTGCGCACTCCTGCCTTGCTGGAAAGAAAAGAAAACACAGACCATGATAGTGATGTCAACCGGTTTCATACAAACCTAAAAACGGTTCACATTTAAAAACCGATTATTAGGTAATAGTTTAATAGGTATCGGTTTCATACATTAGTGCCTTTGGGTATCTATGGTAGCTTTCCAATTACAGCATTATAGCGCATTATGCGGCATAATGCTTAACGTTGAGTGTTCCAACTACAGCAACGCTTCGCACAATTGAGCACACGCAAAAGTAATGCTTTCGTGTGATGCGTGCAATCGTACCAACTCAGAGACAGAAAATTAACAAGTGTTTTTTCTTTAAGTTGGCATTGAATGAAATGTTTTATTTATATATTATCGTTAGTAATATTATTTATTGTTGAAAAAATATTAAAACTCGTTTCATCATAGTTTTTTTTAAATAATCAAAGTTAATTCAAACTGTGTTAAAAATTAAATATAAATATGGATGAAGGTACAAACATTGACTTTTTTTTCAACACTGAACTTAGCGCACTCTGCTGGTGCATTTGAAAACTAATTCATGTTCCAATTAAGCATCAGCATAATTCGGCATTCTGCGCCACTGAGTCGCATTATGCTCTGTAATTGGAAAATCACCTATGGTAGCTTTCCAATTACAGCATTATAGCGCATTATGCGGCATAATGCTTAACGTTGAGTGTTTCAACTACAGCAACGCTTCGCACAATAGAGCACTCTCAAAAGTAATGTTTTCTTGTGATGCTTGCAATCGATACCAACTCAGTGACAGAAAATTAATAAGTGATTTTTCTTAAAGTTGGCATTGAGCTAAATGTTTTATATAAATATTATCGTTAGTAATATTATTTACTGAAGAAATATTTTAACAGCTTTCGTATCATTGTAGTTTTTTATTAAAATTATCAAAGTAAATTCAAACTGTGTTAAAAAAATATAAGTATGGATGAAGGTACAAACATTGACTTTTCTTTTATATTCCACATTTAAAATGTGAATAAAATTTTAATTCACGTTCCAATTAAGCAGCAGCATAATTCGGAATTGTGCGTCACTGAATCGCATTATGCTCTGTAATTAGAAAACTACCGGCATTACCACAATGAACTTACCACTTTTTAATTTTTATGTTTGTCAATCGGTTTATTTCTTAATACAAAGATACAAAAATCTTTATTATACTTCTACATCAAATTTGACTTGGTGTGGGTCTTCTTCTTTCAAGTAAAGTTACCTGTATTAGAAAAAGACCGCTCCTTCATTCCGGTCTTGATAAATAATAATACAGCTAAAACTATAATTTAAATTATACTAATTACACATGTGCGTTTGATGTGTAAGTTTGTGTGTGTTAGTGTGTCCGTGTGTGTTTGCGTGCGTGTGGGGATGTGTGATGCGTTTGTATGTATGGTACATTGCATATGCGTGTATGTGCTAGAATGTGAATACTGAATATGGCAGTAAAAATGCATGTGTATTATTTTATTATTCAAGGAGTTAATTTATATATTATATGATTTTTTTTATTAGACATCCATATGTACTTTATCGATGCAATATTTGTTACGTGTGTTCGTAATCCTAAAGGGACTGGATTACCAGTCCGTTAGAATCTTCTTACACTGAGTAACTGTTAATGGGCAATAAATTGAGTAAATCAAATTAAGTAGTTAGTTGTAACTCTGCTGTCGAGCGGCTTTTAAAACCTTGGCAATTGGTATAGTTGAATTACAACTTTTTTTAATAGCTATAAAATGTCAAATTGAGGGGTAAAATTGTAAATACGCGAGATCCTAGATTTTATTTTGTTGAACTTTTACAATACACTCGTGAACGCTTATTCATGGGTGTTACAGTATAAATATACGTATTATTTGTATAATTTTAATTACTTTTGCTGAATCATATTTTAAAAACCTGCACACCATTTTTTTTATTGGTTTTATTAAAAAAGGCGATTTTGCTATCAATACATCTTTTTTCTTAATTCAATTGACTATACTATTGTTTAATGTTTATGCGGGAGGTTGTTTTTTATTTAGAAACAGTAACGTTATTGCATAAGATGATTTCTTCACACCTCAAAAAAATGACAATTTTGTTATGTGTTGGAACAAGAATATTATAATAGTTAAATATCTACAAATGCTCAAAAATGCTAAATATATGATAGATATTGTGGGACAGAGGGAGGTCATTCTTGTCTTTTTTCCAAATAATATGCTCAATGCATCACCATCATCAGCCTATTAATGTCCCTGCTGCTGGGGCACAGTCCTTCCCTATTAATGGTATAAGGAGATTGGGTCATGACCCACCACGCAGACCCAGTGTGGATTATTGGGTGCTAACGACTGCAGATACAGCCGGACCCAACCGCATAAAGTGTCTTCCGAAGCACGGAGGAGTTCAAGATAATAAGCTTTTGGTCATCCATCTAATGACCGACCATTGCGAATGTAGCTTAACCTCCACGATCACAGACCAAACGCGCTCATCATACGTCTGTGCTCTATACGTTCTTTTTTTGAAATATTTAGTTTTTTATCATTTTGGATCAGACGTGCGCTAGCATAGCACTTGTTGAGAGAATGGGATTGATCTTTGCCGAAAGCTTGAATCACTAAGTATTTTCAAATTTATAACACACAATAAAATTGATTACTTCTTAAAGCATCGAAGAAAACAATATCAGGAAAACTAACAACCTCAATTCACTGAAGTCAATGAATTCGCTATCCCTCTGATAATAAACAACAAATAGATAAACTCGAAGTTAATCTTGGGTCAGTTACGCAGTTTTTTGACAACACACATTTAATACCTTAATACGTAACGATAGCAAACGCAGTATTCTGTAAAAAAAGACTGCTTTTGCTGTTATTCAGGGGAAGTAAACAGCAACTCACCTTTGGCAGCCGCACTGACCCGGCACTACCTGGATAATGCTCCTGCAGACTTCTTCTTCTTCCTCAACATTCCTCGAAGGTGGGGCGGGATAACTCAAGAACCACTGGCATTAGCCAGGACAGGTCAATAACGACTACAATGGTTCACTTTACACTTCACAATGGTTCAAAACACTAAGATACAGCACTACACTTTCGACACGGTGACAGCGCAAGCGATGGGAATTCTTCCAGGTATTGAAGATTCCAGAAGCGGATAAAAACCGGAATCAGTGAATATACATCCGGTCGAGTCACCGTTAATTCGAAGACTGTAGAATGCAGCTTTATGTAAAGTGATACGGTTTTTAAACAAAAAAGGTGGGTACATTCGAAGTTTCAAATAAATGCGGAATGTAATCTTGGACAGCTATAGGATGTAAAGATAACCAGACAGAATATCCTTTGCAAGTATTCCAAAAAAAAATGTGCAAGTGTACGCATTGGTGTTTGACTGCGAGTGATTGTGATGTTTTGTTAGGATATGCTTTAAACACAGGATGCCATAACACAAACTGAATTGTATGAGCACAATTGTTTTCTTATTTTCATAGAATTTCATATTTAACTTTATCCCAATACATCATCACAGGACGCCGTAGCTCTTACCATAGAGTACATTATATACGCTCTTACTTTATTGGAACAAAGGTACACCATGTTGCGTCTCTTTCCACCCTTTAGAATTGTCGTAAGGGCATGATATCTCTTTCCCTCACCCTGCCAGTTTTAAATACTAAGTCTATGGTTTCAATGTATTATATATATATGACGACCTCCGTGGCCGAGTGGCCTGTACGCCGGGTTTTATGGTGTCGCCGACTCGAGAGGTCCCGGGTTCGAATCCCGGTGGGTGTTAGTGCGATGAATACGAGCATTTGTACTCCAGTCATGGGATGCATAATATGTATTTCTTTATAATTATACTTTTATATGTACAGTATATGTATTCTATCCATTACCCTAGTATCCCATAACACAAGCCTAACAGTGCTTACTTTGGGGCTAGGCTAATTGGTGTGAGTGTTGGAAATATTTATTTATTTCTCACATAATGTATTTTGTAAATAACTGTAATTATCTTCTCCATCAGACCAACATTTATACTACACATAATTCTTAGACAACACTCTTTAAATTATGAGCCTAAATTGTTTAAAGACAGAAGAAGAAAATTCAACGTATTTCCTATAGTCGGCAGAACAACCGTCCACCACATTTTTTTACTTCTTAAATCCTGAACTTTATAATAAATTAACAATTCTAATACATTATTATTATTTCTACCATAAATAAACCACTTCGAGCTTATTGTTGGGAGCTTATAAATTATTATTACAGTTTTTAAATGTATCAAACCCCCTTTACTGTCAAATTAGTAATTACACCCATTAAAAAACTGGACAAGTAATAATAGAAGAGTTAAAGAGCAGATGATCACAATTTTCCCTATCAACCCCTTTTCTACTGAAGTTATACGAAAGTGGGCACAGTGGAAGCTTAGTGGTCCTGTAACTAATACCAGATAAACCTTTGAAATATAGTATAGGAAATATCTTTTCTTTAAAACAATCCTGAATTCGAAACTTAAAACTGATGAAAATATGGTTTTTGTGTTTTCGTCAATGTATTGACAATTCATTCAATAAAACAGGACAGCTATATGAACTACACAAGAGATATATCGAAACGAGTTTGACCAAACTCTTAATTTATATTAGTTGTTGTTTACAAGTTATAGTCGAAAGCTCAGTCGGTGTCTAAGCGTCCTCCTACATGAAATCACAAATTGCCCCCAAACCCAAATACAAAGCCCCCATTTTTTTCTGGATCTCTTACCGCTAAGGCCTGCAGCGCCCACAAGGGTTGTTATCGCCTACTTTGGGAAAGGCTCGTAAACTCTCTTCGAAGATGTGTAATAAATAATATTTGTATGTCTTGTCATTCAAACTTGTCAAGATCTTCTAGGCATAATACGGTTCGATCAGAGTACAAATCGTATTTATTCCAAAATAAGCTAAGAAAACCGTTTTTTGTTAAGTAATCAGTATATGTCGGTTTTAAAATCCTAATCAGTGTACATCACTAAACCACGAATGAAGACGAAGATCTATCCATAGAGAAAAAGACATCACAGATTAGGAACAGTGTGACAAGATTCTTTATTTGGACCAAGAATCTCGCTAAGCTTTATATTAGCTGTTTGTATTTATAATTTGAAAAA